TGTATATTTGTTTATATAGACAATGTAGGTATATGATGAAATATACAGGGTGGTCCGAACTGTAATCCGGAAACTTCGGCAGCATATTCTGCAGATAAAAATAAGTAAAAAAGTTCGTATAAATGTTCCTAAAATGCTTAATTTGGGAGATACAGGGTGTAGAAGTTTAATTTTTATTTCGATTTTTTCCCAATATTTTTTGAACATCACTATTTAGATAAAAATTGGTGTCTGGGAGTTTTTTGACATGAGAAATTTGATAATGATGTCAATATGAACACTATTTGTAGAGAGCGCCACCTACATGTGTTTTAACTGTTTTGAAGAATAATAACTTTCCCCGTCCATACCTGTATAAAAATACTGGGTGAGAAAATATATATTTCTGTTAGTTTTTACATAAAAAATGTATCTTGGTAAAAATCACTACGAGCAACCGTTCTCAAGATATTGAGAATTGAATATTTTTTATACATATTTATTTATATTTTATACAATACATATCGTTATTGACAACAAATACATATATCAAGTAGATACTTATTTGACTGAAATGAGATATATTTTGGGATCTTCTTATTTGTTTAAATTAATCATAATTTTTTCTTCGAAAAAATGATGATAAAACAGTTTCTAATGAACTTTTCGCACAAAAACATTTCGAATTGATGATTTCACTATAATAACTATTTAGTCAACATGTCTAATTTAAGTATGTCAATGATGACAGATATTGCTAATTTCGATTCCAAATATCTCGAGAACCATTATTCGTAGCAATTTTTACCAAGAGACTTTTTTTACGTAAAAAACATAGTAAATGTATATTTTGGTACTCAGTAGTTTTATACAGGTGCGGACGAAAAGTTATTACTCTTCAAACCAGTTAAAAAATATGAAGGTGGCGCCCTGTACAAGTAGGAGACATATTGACCTCAAAATCAAATTTCTCATGTCAAAAAACTCCCAGACACCAATTTTCATCCAAATATTGACGTTACTTCAGAAATTATTTGGAAAAAATCCAAATAAAAATGGAACCTCTACACCCTGTATCTCCGAAACTAAGCATATATTAGGACATACATTTATAAGAACTTTTTTACTTATTTTTATTTGCAGAATATGCTGGCGAATTGTATTATACAGTGTGTCAAAAAATACTGCATCTAACTTCAGTCACAAATTACCTATAACAGATGCGAAAGAAAGCGACTGCATCGGAAACCGCTCGGCAAACCCGACACGCCTATTGAGTGGTGTAAATACACCAGTCGTTTAGTCCGGAAACCTATGCTGTGTCGTATTCGCTTGCTGGAATGACATAGTGCGTGGTTATATGTTTCTTTTAAAAACGCGTGTAGGATTTTTGTTGAACTTTTGAACTGTTATTTCTAAGTTTTGGTAATTTGTATATCTTATTTAAAATGGGATGCAAATGTGTTTATTTATAATTTATTTAACAAAATTTAATTAAAAATGTGACAAAATAGTTACCTTTCTATTGGTTCTATCGGACTTTTTTCGACTATATAAATCTTTATTTGTAAACTTTAATACATCAAATATTTTCAATCTAATAAATCATTTAATGATGTAAATAAGAGGAAATTTCTCACATGGGTGGTCAAATTTTATAGTTTTCATTATGTCAAACAGCCTCTAAGAAATGTTTTCAACTCAAAATGCCTTTAATTATGTTTGACTACATCATTAAAAAGGGTCTTCAAATACATCAATGTGATATTTGTCTAAAATTTGCAAAAGAATCCGAATCTCTGGATAACTCGAAATTATTTACCCATTTAAAAGCCTTTGATCATGAAAGTGGAAAAATTTGTTCATTTTATTTACAGGCTGGAAAAATTATTTATATTAAATTTTGATGAGTTTTGCACTGAAGAAAACATTCAGAGGCTGTTTGATTTAATGAAAACTATAGAATTTGACCACCCATGTGAGAAATTTCCTCTTATTTACATCATTAAATTATTTATTAGATTGAAAATATTTTATGCATTAAAGTTTACAAAAAATAAAGATTTATATAGTCGAAAAAAGTCCGATAGAACCAATAGAAATGTAACTATTTTGTCACATCTTTAATTAAATTTTGTTAAATAAATTTATTTTTTATACTATAAATATCTTTTTTTTTTCCTAATCTCCTACGAGCTGATATAATATGACGAGCAATCTATTAAATTACTGTGAGATTATACAGAAAAGTCCACAGACTTCGAGACATAGGAAAATCAAGTCCATTTAGCGTGTGTCCAAATTTTGACAAGTTTTTAAAAATGACAGTTTTGTTTAGACTGCCGTTTAATTTCACCTGACTTCTCGATGAATGATTTCTTTTTATGGGGGTACATAAAATCTAAAATTTACGGCCATGAAGAAATTCAAAACTTGGAGCAGTTAAGGCAGAAAATATTTAATGCCTTTGACACTGTCACCCCTGATATGTTATCCAATGTGAGGAGGGGATTTTATGATCGTTTGGTTTAATGCAAGAGACGACGTTTAACCTTTAGACGTTAACCTTTAGACGTGAAATTTCTCTTTATTTTTCTGCTACCACGGTAAGTATCCTCAACTACATGCGAGCCCCATTCGTAGTTTCATTATTTTAAGTAGTATTATTAAAAAAATAGAGAACTTGTAGTACAAAAAAACGCTTCATCTGGCAATAACAAACAAACAGCAGTATCTCCACAGCACACTTGAACAATTTTTGTAATTTTTTAAATTTCATTATCCTGTTTTTTTACCGTTTACCCATTACCTACCTTGACGAACATGGGAAAACGAATGTCCTTTTCAGAACCACAAATATTTTGATTGAGAAAATTGGTAACTTTTTTTGGATTAAAAAACAAAAGTTGTTAATATAATACCAATTTAAAAGTGTTTTAGTAGTTTTAATACACACTATGATATAAAATTTATTATTATTATAATGTACATTATTAATACTATTGTTCATTCGAAATGGCATTAAGGCCCAATTGCAACAATGATTTAAATTTTTCTTAAAGATAAGTAGAGGTTAGAATGAGCTGTATTTATATTTACTTTAATATTCACCTTAAATGAGGGAATTTGACTGATACAATTTTTGAATTTGAATTGTTTTTAATGATACTAACAATTTTAGTTCAATTTTTAATAAAATTTATTTAATATTAATAGAAATCCAAGAGATTTGAAACCTCTTTTAGCGATTTATAACATTCTCCAATGAATTACAGGTGCCCTTATTTTCTATGAAAATCACACAGCTTTTTCATAGTCGCTGCAGTTGCTATAGCTATAAAAAACTAATTTTTAAGGTGTGAAAATTGCGACACACGCTAAAAGGACTTGATTTTTCGTATGTCTCGAAGTCTGTGGACCTTTTTGTATGCCTCGATAACATATTGGTGCAGATTATTTTCACCCAAACAAATAATAACCCAAACTATACATTGATGCGGATTGTCTATGAACTCTTTCTGAAGGTCACAGAAACCTGAACGCGTAATTCGGTGTTCTTTCGCATCTGTTATAGGTAATTTGTGCTTCAGTGGTTGATTATGCAAATAAAAACAAGACAAAAAGTTCCTATGAACATATATGCCCTAAACTGCTTCCCAAAGAAGTTACAGCCCTCGAAAGAGCAAATAAAAATGAGGAGCAGACTTTCTAGATGCATTTTATCCATTTTTCGAATTTTCGCAAACAAAGAAAAACTGCCACGCTTTTTGCAGGAAACTTACCGAAAAATTAGTTTACTTGAAAAATAGATAAAAAATAATAAAAATATATACAGGGTGTCCCAGAAATAATAAGTGCAAGTATTTTATCCGGTAGTATAGTTTAACCCCACAAACACGCCTATGAGATTTTCTTCGCGAAAAAAAAATTTTGAAAATTCCGAATTTTTTGAAAAAAATTTTTGAAATTTTTTTAGTTTTTATTTAAAAAAATAATTTCTTGATAATATAGCAACATAGGTAGTAGATTAAATTTGCAAGAAAGAAAATCCAGGAAAGATCCAGTGGTTCTAAAATTTTAGCAAAAAATCGTTTTTTTTTGGAAATTTTCATAGTAAAATAACTATGTTATTATGGACTTATTTGAAAAACGATAAAGAGAAAATATGTTTCTTTTATCGAGATCTACCACCCACTTGCACTTATTTCTGGGACACCCTGTATAATAATAACACTTACATGTGAAAAATATAGTTTTGATGACAACTGAAAAAAATGGAAGAAAAAAAACTGTTGACTGTCCTTTAGATGTGAAATTTCTCTTTATTTTTCTGCTACCACGGTAAGTATCCTCAACTACATGCGAGCCCCATTCGTAGTTTCATTATTTTAAGTAGTATTATTAAAAAAAATAGAGAACTTGTAGTACAAAAAAACGCTTCATCTGGCAATAACTAACAAACAGCAGTATCTCCACAGCACACTTGTTTGTCTACCGTCAATGGACATACAGCACATAGAAAGTCTAAGGTATTTTCGCCATTTAATTCGAATGGGATAAAATATATTTAACACGTCCTTTCTGGTATCATATTGTAACTCTGTTTATGAAGTTTGCAATGCCACTTTTGGTTGAAAATCTTAAAACTTTCTATTAGGGTAAAGAGTATTACGGTATTACTGATAGTACTTCTTTTATCCTTACAGCAATTTCAACAAACGTCATAAAAAGCTAGAACTTTTTTACGTAAAAAAGCCATTTTCGTTTATTTTGAAACAGTTACCGGTTTTCAAGATATTTACATTGAAAAGTTTGGTTTGGTTGCAGATTGCAAATTGTTCGATTTTAGCATTTTTTAGATGTAGCAAAGAACGTTACCACTCAATATGATCCTGAATCATAAACGTTTGCGAATGTTCGCCTTTAATGGAAACGTTCTGTCTACGACTTTACTTATACACATAATTAATTTTTATCGAGAAAATGTAAATTAAATAATATTTAATATCAAAAAATCTTACCTTTCATCGACGGTGAGGTTTGCCAATTCGGGCACCCAACACCAGTGAGCTTCCGGCACCAGGGTAATAAAAATTTGGGTAAAATATACCCAGGCAACGAAAAAAGCGAACGGGATCATCATAAGGAACAGGAATATTTGGTAGAACCCGAAAGCACCGATGTGAGGAAATAAGTCGTCGAAGTCGAAACTCGAGTCTTCCTTTTCTGATTTTTCTTTGTTGTTGTTATTGTTGTTGTTGTTGCTTCCATTTTTCTCGAAAGACTTTGAGGTGTCGTCGGTTATGAAGGCTTTATTTGTAAACCTGTAAAAAAGAAGAATAAGCTTGTATTAATACTTTTAATTAATTTCAGAAATAAAATTTATTAAAATAACGTCATTTTCTTTGTTTAGGCCTCATACACTCTGAGTCTTCTTAATATTAATATTAAGAAGTGTCTGATCGTGAGAAGAAAAGAGGATTTTTTTCCAATTGTATTGTGTTCTAACAAATCAGGGTGTTATGAACATCAATATTCTTGTAGGAAATTGAACGATCTTCAAAAAAAGGTGTCTAATATAAGTTTTCATTTAATCGACTCATTTAAAAGTTGTTGAAGGTGTAACAGATTTAGTTAATAAAAAAATGATTTCAAAAAAACTATATTGTCCCTTACGCACGGCAGCAATTTTTCACAAATTAAAACGCGTTTTTATGGCAATATTAATTCGATTTAATTCTTTGGCAGATGGTTATTATTAACTTTGATTAATGTCATATTCTTTAATAATAATAATCGCTCCCGTCAGGGGCGGATACAGGAATTTATTTTAGGGGGGGCCCAAATAAAAAGTAATGTAGAATATGCTTTTTAGTTCGCCATTTTTAACCAAAAAGCCTAATATGTAACCCAATTCAAGGATTTTAAGAGGGGCCCGGGCCCCATGGGCCCCGCCTCTGTATCCCGTATATAGCGTTTAACGCCTTGGGAGTAGCAAGGTACAACTTGTACAACATGCTAGATGTCATATTCTTTGCTGTTGTTAAAGTATCATATTTTCCGATAACTATCATCACCCTTTCCGTAGCATAGAACTAAATAAATTTTGTGCTTCTTTTTCAACATTTTAAAACAAAAAAAAAATACTTTAATTAAAATCTATGAATAACAATCTATCACAGAATGAAAACGAAATTATATTACCATAGAAACTCGTTTTGAATTTTAGGACTTATTATGACATATTCCCTATGTTATTTAAATGGATTTTTAAAAAATTTTTAAAAGACAAAAAATATATTTTTTTGGTGCACCCTATAGACCATCTCGGGGTACAGGATGTCCCAAATTCTAGCCTCATCAATTTAAACTTACAAACTAGAAGAGACTACGAGGTCGGTTAAATTGAGGCAAAGTAGTCCAATTTAGGCAAAGTAAAAAAATCCTAATACTTATTTTTTTGAAAAAAAAACGAATATTCGCGATTTAATTTTTATTTCTATAATACGTATATGTTCTTACACCTAATGATTAACAATTTATTTTTTAATATCAAATCGATACGTTTTATGAGAAAAAAAACACTCAAAAAGGTAGGAAAGTTATTAAATAAATCAGGTTATCCATTCTTTTTCAACTGCCTAGTTGTATATATTGTTATTTAAATTTTATTTATTAAGAATAATAGTGGAAGCCTATTTCAAACCCATCCTTTTATTTTAAAAAGGCATAAACTAGTGTGCATTTAGTACTGGGAGAATTGTCAGCTCAAGAGTTTGGAACAACCTCAAAAGAAAAATTTCACTCTTCCAACTCTCAGTGGATAACAAACCAAAAATGTACAACTTTGAGAAACACCTCTCTGTAGTATTGTGCAACAAAAAGGATTGGAAGAGAGAAACGTTTCTTCCGCAGTTAAAAGACCATACCACAACGTGATATACTGATACTTCCAAAACCAATGCAGGGACAGGGATATGACTACTTGAGCCAAAAATTAAATTCTCCGAACCTTCCTAAGGCACCTACCCCATCATCCTTCGGGCAGGAACTAGAACTAGCCATCTCATCCGATAGTCAAGCAGCCTTAAGAGCGATCAACTCAGTAACAATCAATTCGAAGTCAGTCAGAGAATGGCTAGAGAAGCTGAATAAATTAGGCAAAGAAAATAAAGTCTTCCTACTCTTGGTAACAGTACACTAATGGATAGCCGGTAATGAAAAAGCGAACGATTTACAAAAAAAAAACACACCACTAACTGGACCAGAACTGTTCTGCTTCCCAACTGGCAACCAACTTAAAACAGAACTCAAGAACCTGGAAGACTCCATCCGTAACCTGGGAATGGAAACATATAACCAGAATGGGAATCCTGCAACGGTCCAAGACACTCGAAGAAATTTCTCAGGGCTTATTTCGAATGATACGACCATAGATTTAGTAAGAACAGATATCACATTGTGCATTTTAACCCGATCAAACAATCGGAGGTTGACTACGTACTGTAAAAATCAACCGAGATAGAGAAGGCGACATTGCCACATCTCAAATTTGCGCCTATCTACTTAGTTTGATTTGCAGAAAAGGTGACTTTAAAACCTTCACCGGATATCAATAAATCTCAATTTCTTAATAAAATTAATAGTTTATTTTTAAAGCAGCATGCGTAATAATATGTTATTAACCAGAGGATATATGCGTTACTATTAAAGGACGTGTTTACTGTTTAATGTGCTGAAACGTCTAGAACTATTGGCAACGTCGCTGCTAGTCTTCCAGAATGAAATGAGCCGTCCGTCCCACCACCCCTCACGACCATTGGTCCGTTATAGCGTACTACGTTTAGCTTACGGTGTGTTTGAAGTCGGAATCAAGTCCGAAGTGAACTTTTCAGTGGTTTTCAGTGGTTTTTGATTTTGTTTAACATACTTTTGAATCTGCGAATTTTCAATATGGTAGGACAGTGTCAAATGTGTGGAAAAATAAGCTCAAATTACCCGAATTTGTCTTTCCACCGGTAGGTATTGCTTCCGCCATAATCGTACATAGGCGTCCCACAAGGGAGCCTCTCACAATTAAAATAATTTCTAATTATGTATATTTGTTGAATTTTGATCTATTAAAACAAGAACGTAGTGCCGGTAATTGAATTATAATTCGTCTCAATTACTACCTAACTGTTGTAGATCATAACAAATTTGAATATAAACGTTGCATATATTTTGAAACTTTATTATATGCCAGAAAGTGACATTTTTTTTTAAATTGCGTCATATTTTGGTCATTATATACGATATTCTAAAGGATTTTGCTCAACAAATAAACAAAGGTGTTTACCCGTCCTTTTTACATTTATTGCTTTATTATATCTTATATCTGCCCCTTCGGTCTTGTTTAGACAAGTTTTTACCAACGTACAATACAAATACCTCTTCCTAGAGTTATTTGTACGGTGTGTTTACCTTTTTTTAGAATGGGACGAACTGTAAATAATTCTTAGGCTACTAGTTTTATACATACTTATATACAGAGTGACCCAGGCCTCCAAAAAAGCTTTTTACCTATTACGTTTTTGGTTTGTGATTTTTATTTCAATCTTTACATAAGATCGGGGCTATTGTAACGCACATTTTCAAAATATTTTTGTCAACATACAGGGTGATTCAAATCGCAATACATATGCTTAATACAGTTCATGAAGATTGGGACGTTTAACTAAAATTTGATTGTCTGATTAAGCTACCTAAGTAATGGATTTGTAAACGTAATATTCATTATTATGCGACAGAAATCCCATACTGTAGCACACAGATTTGATACTTTTAATGATAAATGCCCTCTATTATGTATATTATAGAGAGACTAAAAGGTAATTGCCTCGTATCAGAGCCATCATAATACGAGAAGAAGACCGAAAGTCAAATCTTGTCTTATATTTTCAAAAAAACACAATTTTCTCATTAAAATAAATATTGATTTTAGGTATAGGAAGTTATTAATAATACAACTATTACATAGTACTTCACAGGAAACTATCGATTGCGAACTAACTAAATCGTTACTAATTACTAATTTTGAAAAGTTCTTTTTAAGATAAAAAAAAGGTAAAACTAAAACCTATACTATCATTTGAGATTAAACGGGAAGTTCTAAATAATGTTGCCTATTCTAAACCAGAAAATTTATTTATAAGTTTTATAACACCTCTAATTAAATTTGGACGAAAAGAATATTTCTGTTTGCTGTAGGTAATTTTCTCAGAGATTAAACAGGAAGTCCTAAGTTCTCTTCTTCTCCCAGGGAAAATACGTAAATAAAAATGACTTTTTAAGTCAAAAAGTCAAAAGGACAAGTTATTCCAAAAAGGACTGCCCTTTTCAAAAAAGGACAGGTGGCAACCCTAGGTATTGCTGGAATGGAAATTTAATGGTAAATCTACAACTTTAGTTTGAAAATATGTTCCGGCCACCTATGATTACAAAAATGTCTAAAATGTGCTTTACCATTGCCTCCATATTCTAAAAAACAAATTGAAAGAAAAGTCACCAACCACAAACCTAATATAGAACTGTTTAGGAAGCCTGAGTCACCCTGTAAATATTCAAAAGTAACTGAAAGTTTATATAGAAGTAACCGAAAGTTTAAATTGAATATCGACGTTGGAGCGATTTTCGAAAACTACCTACTAACGTTTCAACATAAGTATATGTGGGATATTAATTATATTATTATATTAGACCTTATAACAAAACTCATCTAACGAAAAAATGTTAATGTAGTATATTAATATGGAGTAAAAATTTTACTAATTACTTTACTTTTACTTTACTAATTAAATTCGTTCCAAAAAACGATACGCCACTGGCCATTAGAACAATCCAAATGCGCCTAGTTGCCGGCTCGGTTGCCGGCGTCGGAAATTTTAGACTTCTCTGTCTCTTCTGTCTTTGTTTGACACATTGGAATGTTTGATACACTACCAACGAGTATTTATGAATGAGATGTTCGGTCTATCTTTATAATGTCTTTGGATACGACATACTTCTCGTTTTTAGAATAATAAATAAAAATCTTAATCTTTATAACTTAATTTCTGCCAAAGAATAACCCATTAACTACCCAAATTATCATCGCATTTGTTTTGAACACCCTGTATCTTTAAGTCATTTTTCCTCAAATATATGGAAAAGTCGAACTCACAAGATACTAAATTATAAGCTAAGATTGATTTGATTTTAATTGTTATTATATTGAAATAGGTATTATACTATTACAAGACAAAGCATTTTTTCAGCTGTCAAAGTGCCACACGTCCACACGTGA